AGAAAATGTACACGGGCAGGAAACGAATAGACTAGACCAGTTTTCTATTATTCGTGTTAATCATCTCACATACAGTTGTTTTGACTCATGAACGGCGATGATTTCCCAGTGTCGTTGTGCAGGATTATTGAAAGCTCGGAGAGGCCGCGCCGCGACAGTCATCCACAGCTGAGAATAGATTACATCGCGGCAACAGAAAGGTCACCATTCCGCTTCTGGTGACTGGTAACTTTTGATCCGGTACAACGGAAACCGGACATTTTCACGATTTGCGATTGTTAGTGGTAGTCGAACCCCGGTTTCGTTTATTCACTCCCGTATTGTGTATACTTTATGATAAGCAAGATCACAATGCATCTGTTGCTCTAACCACGCCAGGAAGCAGTTTTAGCGATTATAAGTTGTCAGCGTTTCAGCCGCTTAGCAGTGGCCTTCCTTCTTTCCAAATTTTTATTAATATCCGAGTGATTGGCGTTGCTCAGTCTGTAAAGTATTCGACTCAGCCGAGCGTATCAGATTCGAGCCCTGTTCAAAGTCAGTTAGTCTTTCTTCTTTCTGAGTTTGAATAAATGAATACCACTTCTTGAAAAAAAACATGTGACGATGTTTGCTACATAACTGTTATCGATTCTGCCAATAAAATAAGGTATTCCTGGCTGTTGACATGGAAATAGGGATTAGCAACCTACCATTAACTTCATTAGATGAAGTTTACCAGAAATAGCCCGATCTTGAAAGTTTAAAGAAGACCGACATTGCGACGGTTACAAACTGTTTTTTTCTTTGCTTGTGACTGTCTTTCCTACAGTTAATATTGAATTGTTTTCTTCTTTCACAGGGAATAACACGCCACCATTGCTCTTTTATCTTATTTTATAGGAAACAGCTGTTATGGTATAAAGGACAATACTTTTTGATTCTCCGTCGAACTCAGCTAAGAATTCAGTACCACTCAAAGCTCATTGTTCTAATTTGAGGGGAGGGTGATCGATTGAGTACAGCCGATCGCACGGGTGGTTTGCTGTTGTGAGATCAAGAACTGTTGCGAATTTTGCTCCAGGTTGGACAATCGTCATGTATTAGTCAACGTGTATTAAGTTGCTTAAATAATAAATGGAAACAGCATGTATATTTTAGTAAAAATATTCATGCACTATAATTTATAGTCATGTGTTTTCTGCCCATAATAATACATTTTTCAACTCAGTGACACGGTTATCTTTAAAAGTTTTCTGAAAGTTTGTGATTCTGGGCCCATAGTTCATCAAAGCTTTAAAAGTGGATCTAATGATTGCGGAATCAATGAAATTTGCTCTGAAATACTTGAAGCATTAGGCGAACAAGGAAGACAGTGTTAGCTTACATGTGTCTGTCAAACTGCAGCGACTACGGGGAAGAAATCAGCGGACGAGTACCCATGTTCAAGAAGGGAGATCGCGTGGAGTGTTCCAGTTATCATGGCATTACGTTATTGAGCCTTTCGGGTAAAGTCTAGGTAGAGGTGTTAGAATGCAGGTGCGGGGAAATAGTCGACTCCAGCATCACGATTGGCAGAGTGGTTTCCGATCCGGCTGAAGCACATCTGACCAGATTTTCGCCTTACGCCAGATCGTTGAGAAGTCACGGGAGTTCGGACATTCGTTGTATATGTGCTTTACTGACCTTGAGAAAGCCTGTGATCAGATGAGGCTTCTGCAAACAAATGGGATCGATGGTCAGTTGCTACAAGCCAGCCAGTCGCTACATGCTGATAGCAGGAGCTGCGTCACAGTAAATGGCGTTAAGTTGAAGCCTTAGTAGCTTTACTAAAACCTTTCCATCTCAAGTTTACATTTGGATTCCCTACCATGGGTAAAAAAAACAGTTCGGTGGTCTTTTGACGTTGAGCAATACTTCACCAGTGTGGCCAAAATTGGGCGGTTTCTACTGAAGATGTTTCTGTTATTGATCTTTGTCTAAGACCAAAAGCACTGCCACTGAACTACGATATACACTGAAGTTTGTAGAACGGAATCAGAATAAATGTAGAAGTTTTTTGTTTGGTGCTGGAGGAAGGTCGATCAAGGAATTCGCGTTGCAGATAGAAGTTTTCACACGTAGAGACAGACTTCATTGCAGAAGGGTGTTCTATGGCATTTCTGGTCGCTAGCGCTATTTGGAAGGCTTTCGGCGTAATGGAGGCGAAGAGACTATTTTTCTAGCGATTTATGCTTGTCTTTAATAAGAAAGCGTCGGCGTTGACTTGTCTTCCAGATAACCATTTATTTCGTTTTATTAATATGCACTCTATTGGCCGTGATCAACGTACTCGATAGCAATAAGGAAAAGATGAAGCCTGCCTACTGTTTCTGTTTTCGTCCTTTTATGTCACTTTTAGGCTTTGGAATCAGACCTTGTTTCATGCCAACTTCATCAGTGGATCGACCTGATTTTCGGTTACAAGCAACGAGGACCGGAAGCTGTGCGGGCTACCAACGTCTTCTACTATTTGACTTATGAAGGAGTGATCGACCTCAGCTCAATTGACGATCCCGTAATTCGACAGGTATGACTACCCCTTGGTATTGTCGCTACCAAGCGTGCTACTCAGGCAAACATTTTAGGCTCTTGAAAATCAGATCCGGAATTTTGGTCAGACACCAGCGCAGCTGATGACCGAACCCCATCCGCCACGTCAGTCCATCATGACGATAGTAATTTATTTCATATATATCGTTCCTACCATTGCTTATTTGGTTCGGATTTGCTAATTCTTCTATCTTTGACTCAGCCAGTTATTCAGTAGGTTATTCGGCGACTTTTCACTCAGTCAGTTGTCATCTTTTGGAGTGGGTGTCATGCTGCTGTATTATTCTGTCATATGTTACATCCTTGTACGGTTCGCTGTTTGGATATAACGATAGGAAACGTTTGTAAAACCGTAGGCAGTCAGCTGTTGAGCCACTGTTCCATTCTTCTGGTGAACGTTTGTGATTGGAAAGGAACAGAACCAGAGCCATAACGTGGTTTTAACCTTTACTGTATGCATATGCACAGGATACCGAGTAACTTCTTCCGTTTTTTTCTGAAACGCTTCCAACAATCCTGAGTATGACGATTATCTTTCTGCTAAGATCTATCGATATAGATTAATTGGGTGTTCATTGGCATGTACAAAACGACTTCTTAGGCACAAAACTAAGCTTCATTTAGGATCCAACTTCTTAACCCCCAGAAGTTATTAAAGTTAGTTGGAGAAATAACAGACGAAGTCGGCTAGTGTAAATACCTCGACTCTGTCGTCTCTTACAACTTATCAACCAGTAGGAGTTAAACGTGGTTCGCTTTTCGTTCCTGCGCTTTCTGTTGCATATGCAATATTCCGGCATAGGAATATTCTTTACTACTAAAATTTGCTTCAACTTCTAGCAGTAAAATTAGCGCTATGATACAATTTAAGAAAGACACAAAGCGAGTGCAGCTTGAAACGATGGTGTGGGCCTCAAACATAGTGAGGTTAAGCTACAGGATTATGTAGCGAAGGATTCTATTCTTTTTCAACCAGAAATATCTTTAGCAGAACTGGACAGTAGGGAAGTGACATCGGTCTTATCTAGCAACTTAGCGAGCATGAGTTCTTCACTGCAAGCGACGAGCTTCTCATGCGGCAGCCGAAATACGATGGGCATTGTGCAAGAGACCACTATGCGGCATGAATGAACACGATAAAAGGGGCAGATATGCGTTCAGAGAAGAATTGTATCTTGTAAGATGCACTAACCGAAAGCTTATAGCCAAAGTGTTGAAAAGCTGCCGATACAGCGAACATCACAATCCGGAGACGTTCGGCCGATGGAAATTAAGCAACTCTCACGCGCTGTTGTATAAGCTAGCGATGTAAACGAATCTTAACTGATAATCTTTATTTCCGTAAACATTGAACATTGCTTTGGCAAACATTCTGTACAGAGGACTACACAAAATTCAATAGGATCTTCTAACATATAACTGAATTTGACTTAGTGCGTAGAGACTTACATTCATTCAGAGTGCGTGAATTGACTACCTTTGATACCTCGAGTTTGAGCTGAAATTCTGGCCTAGCCTGTGAATTACTTGACAACTGTCTCACTGTGTTTTGCTTTTGTGTCAGACGTTGATTCGGCTGACTCGGCTTAAAATTTTGGAAGTAACTCATTATTCTGAGCCTCACTTTCTTGTGCAGATGAAAAGACTTGCTTTCTAGAAACGTGTATTTTGCGAAAGTAAGTGTTGCAAGTCACATGGGGGGGGGCATGGTTGTTATCATTGGCAGTGCAGAATTTAGCATTGTTGAATGGTTTTGAGATTTTTGTTGTCATAGGGGTTGTATAACGTCACCCTAATCCAAGAATGGCACCGGAGGAGGCATAACACCGGAGAGCAAGTTATAGCCTGGTGGAACACTGTCTGAAGAAATGCTTAGTTTTTTTCTTCGACAGCAGTGTACCGGTAGAAACGATGGAAGAAAGACTGCTTTAACTTGGCATGGCGACCAATGTGTCAGTCAAAGGTCCCGGACGTAAGTGTAGCGGGCTGTACCTGTGATGGTGACAACCGTAACAACTACATGAATGGTTGTATACGATTTTAGCGTTGCTGGTTTTTGATCATACCGCAGATGTTAACGGTGACATTCTACATTCTCACGAAGACTTTTATTATTTTAATTCAGACCGGAAGCAAAGTACCGCCCATCTTCTCCGTGGCGTCATCTCACTGTTCACCCGTCCGCGCTTTCGTATTTTCGTTCTCCTTCTTTATGATGTTGACATTACAGCTGGTATCAGTTCAAGTGCAGTGGGTAGCTCACGGAATGATATACCGCTTTATGCATCATACTTGTTCGACCAAACGAATGACCTCTAGGTAGAAGGGATCGTTTCTTTAGAGTATTAATGCCAGTGGTGGCCATCAGTCCAGAGAAAGCCCATTCTTATAACTTTTAGACGATTTCATCGTAGCCACTATCGCTTCGTTCATTATTCGGCCATTTAAAAGTTCATGATAGGTTTACTACCATGACTTCTGAAAAAGAAGCACCATGGCTCCACTGGACATACGATTCTGCCTTTTAATCGTTGCCTGCCTTTTTTCATGCAGACGAGGATCGATCTCAGACCTCTCCGATATACGAAGTGCTGAAATAGTTTAATAATTTAACGCAGAATTCGTAGCGTTTCTTTACCTGTGTTGAAGCATTATTTTCGAAAGATTTTAATTTTCCTGTTTCGTATGTTATAGCCGCATACGACCTGGATTTTGGAACCGCTACCGCGCACTTGAAGTTAACAGTTGCTAATAATAATAGAACTTAAGTTAATAATAATAAAACTGCTTGCAATAAGAAAAGCGACATCTTTTTCTTCCATGACCGCTTCTCCTTTCGGATCGCGAAAGAAATAGCGTCAGACAGTGCTTCCAACATTCCTGATCCTGTGCCAGAGTCTCAGTTTCCTCAGAAGACAACTGGTGTCTGGAGCATACTCCTTCCACTATTTGCACCAGGTTAATCTTAGCCATCCCCTGGGCCTTCTGCCGGTCGGTTTCGCAAGAAACTGTTGCTTAGTCTTCATTTCTGGAGGCATTCGCAACACGTGACCAAACCATTGCAGCTGTGACTTCTCAATCTGTAGAAGCAGACGCTGTATACCAAGGTTCTTCCATATATCAGTGTTCCTGACCATGTCGAGACGCGTAAGGAGAGCGACTCGTCTAAAGAAGTTCATTTCAGCAGCTTGTACCCAGGTTCGAAGTTTTCAGTGATGGTCCACGACTCATGACTCATATCCCATCCTCATAAGCATGGGAATAAAGGTCGACTTGAGC